TGCCGAAATCGTTGGAGGATTTTCGAATTTTGTCGGTTTCCTTAATAATTACTTTTTCTCTATAATAGTCGATATTTCCTTGACTTTCTCTACTTTTATTTTAAATTTATGACTCAGGTAATTTGGTATTAACAATATCAATTAGTGATTAACAATAAATTCAATAATTTATGCAAAATTAATATTACCAATTACGAAATTTCCAAATCGAAGTATTCTCTTACACGCATCGCTGTGTTAAACTATCCTTATCACTTCTTATATGTTAATTAATCAGGATCATACGGGGTCACTGATAGTAATTAACGACAATACATACATATCAAAAATAATATAGAGTAATTAATTACATTATTATAAAATTAATAAGAGTTATAGAAGTTTCTTCTCTTTGTTTATAACTTATCTTCCTTTTTGTTTATAACATATGATTCTTCTCGAGTTTTTACTTCGTCGTCACTTTCCCAATCGTTACTACAGTCTTCCTTCCTTTTTTTATTTGCAAGTCCAGGTAGTACAACTGCTGGTTCTGAGCTTAATTTTGAATCAGTTAAATGATCACGTGCTGATTTGCCCTGATCACTAAACTTTCTATTTAACATCACAGATTCTTCTTCATCTTCCTCTGCTGCTTCACCAAATGATAAAAGATTGAAATCTTTGTAACAAAATTTTTCATTGTAAAGAATAATACTATCAAGGCTAAATTCTGCAGGCATATATGATTTTTAATATATTGCAGCTGTTGTTGCCTTTGAACTGTCCTTTGCTTCTTCACCTTCCTGTACTATTATTCTTGGTATATCAGCGAATGGATTGTTCAATATTATAGTTTTTATCAATCTTGATGGATAAAGTGATCTATCATTCTACAAAAAAGGAGGAAATATCATACTTATGTCAATTCTTGATATATTTTCTTGAAGACATTAAATTTACCTCATCTACAAGTGCTTCTTCAAAATTAAGCATATTATATATAGTTTCTCCAGTAACATTACCAAAGATTGTATGTTTATTCTGCAAATCTGGTGTAGAACCAAGAGTAAAGAAGAATTGGGAATTATTGTCATCTTTTCCAGCATAAGCCATAACAAATAAATCTCGTTGACAAAAACGTAATCTTGTATGAAATTCGTCCTAAAACACATAGATCCAATAATTATTTTTGAGTAAAAAAGGAATACATTTTATTTTTAAATATAGTCTCACCTTAAATAGTCCTCCATATATTTTACCACTTTCTCCTGTACCTGTGGGATTACCACCTTGTGTATGAAATATAGGGTCATGGTAATAACCTTCCACACATAACTGTATGAAATTTCTACATGCCTTTGGAGTTTCTTTTGCCCACAATTCTAACTTAATATCATCGATAGTTGTTTTCATTGTAACCTAGTTATGACAAATATATTAGCTTTATTAATGTAAAATACTTTCAAAATCAAATTTATCAAAATTTATTGTTTATTAATGTAATTTAAGTTAGAAATTGTTTAATATATTAATATAGAAATTTGAGAAGTGAATATTGTATATACGTTATATTTCTAAAAACAGATGTACAATCCATTGAAATATTATTAATTAATACTTACTTTAGCCATAGTGGGTGGCCCTTGTATATAAATATTATTCATGTTTGTAAGTCTCCTGTAATAGAGCAAATCCCTCGTCAATAATATTTCATATCAAATCTCTAGTCATCTATAAATCAGTCAACCATATGGTTCTTATCTCGAATAATAATCGGCAGGTAAGACATACCTTTTACCTTCTTTCGACATTGGCTTATTAAAGTCCATGATGTGCCACAGCACCATTATTCTTGCTGCTTTTATAGTCTCCAAGTTCCCATAGATATTTCTACGCATTTTTGCCATAATGCAACATTTATACAGTATATTTAATTTATCTTTACCTTTAATAACTATTACCACTTGTTGAAATAAATTGGAAATAAATGCATAATTATGGAAGTAATAAAACTTTAATCCTAAATATTTCAAAAACTGTTAAGTAGTTGCCGCTATAATGGTATATTTTCTTAAACTGCATCTACAAACCTGCAAAGTTTCAACTAAATCGGTGACCCGGAGGACTTGCAGTCTCCTTGCCAGATAGTTGAACGATGCTCTCCGACAGTCACTTTCAAACATGTCTCTACTGACGAGAAACACTCACGAGAGCAACCCGTAACAGTTTCACTCTTAAGTACCTAGGCATGAAGCAATGCAGCCGTGAGGATGTAAACACGCTATACCATCTCTTCTTATACGCGTAATACATGTATACGAGTTAAATGGAATCGTCAAAATTCCGCGAATTTCGGTATGTCATGATCGAGAATTAAAATTTTATCTAATCAATAATCTAAAGAATCTAATTGTCTTGGGCAGAATTAAAAGAAGACATTTTAAAAATGTACTTTTGCATCTTTTGAGTCACTCTCGTTATATACCTATAATGCTCATTTAATCTATATTATCGACGAAAGGTTAAATTCATAATTTTGCTTAGTATAATTTCCAGTCGGTAAGAGATTTGATTTATAGCAATAAGTAAAAAATCTGCATGCTAACTTTAATTTGCGTTGATAAGTATTATTACAGACGAGATACAGAATAGATGTAACATCAATAATAATAAGTAATAAATATAAAAAACTGTAAATTTGTTAAATATATAGAACCTGAATATTTTTCTTATATCATACATATTTCATTTTCATGGTTAATATTTATCCTAAGAGTATATACAGTATAAATATTACTTCTGAATATCAGCATTAAGTAATTATTTTGATTAAATTTGTTATAAACTTGTACAAGAAAAGTTACACGAATCTATTTTGCAATACAATATTGGAAATACACAAATTGATATTAGTAAATGAAATAATTCCTAATTTTTAGCTTTCAAATTTGTTGGTTAAGATGTCGAAATTTTAAAACAAGAAAATGTATATATCTTTCTTTAAAGATTTCTTCCTTGTCCAAAACCTCCACCATCATTCTGTGAGTCTAATAATATCGACTGAAGTTCAGTCTTGGCGATAGAAAAGTATCTTCTATCAGTTTATTATATACTTTATCTGTTTCATAGAATTAAATGCATGATATGTAAAATTCTTCATAAAAGGTTAATTTGCAATTCGTAGTATGAAATGAGAATATTAAAGTACGTTAAAAATGTTTATTTAAACAAGATAATATTTATTAAAAATAAAGTACTGAAATTAGCGAAGCTACTCTAAAAATTATATGAAATTGTATAAGTAGATAAAGATGAGAATCTAATCTAAATATGTTGACATATATTGTATATTCTCTTTTGCTTACATGTTATTGAAAAATTTGTAAAGAAATAAATTTATTTTAACTTATATGGTTGACAATAAAATGAAAAAATAAATAATTATTGTAGTAAATACAGATTTCATACAATATAAACGTAACGTCATAAATGAGATAATAGATTTATTAACTAATGTAATTTTTTTGTTACACAGTTTTAAGATTCATAAATCTCATTACTATATCTCTTTCACTTTTAACATTAATAATTCAACATTGAAAAAAATTTTGATATTCATATCAGATAGAATTAAAATAAAATGTAACTATAAATGTCTAATATAACTATGACATCATTCCATAATGTTGCATAGGGTATTTTATGACAGTAAGTAGGATATATACTTTTATGTTGGTGTTGAATACTTAATATATTTATTTATACAAGGTTACATTTGACATCTAAATAAAACTCTATATATTAATTACACAATTTATACAATATACAATCTACGTATTAATTGTATAAATATATCTTTTCAATTTTGGCTTTCATAACATTGATCAGATTGTATATTTTAACAAGTTTTCTTAATTTTATTAGTGAAATGTTTTATATAAAGAATGTGAAAAATATTCTTTTTTCATAAAATAAGATAATGTATAAATCCTTATGAATTAAAATAACGAAAAATTTTAGTTAATTTCTATTCATTACATGAAATAACAATTTTTCATGATTATTGTAACAAATCTCTCCAAAACTCTTTAATTTTCTTATGACTTTTTCTACTCTTTGTAGTAATTGTTTAAATAAAGCTATTTAATTAAAATATATATAAATAAAATATTTTATTACTTTTTATAAATAAAAATTTTGTTTGTATACAAAATTATTATTAAATAATTTCCTATTATGACAGGGAGGTTATTGTATGGTATTTAGAAATTATTAATTTTCTATTTATAAGCATATATACATTTGCTTCTTATTTTTGTAAAGTATGAAGTCTAAATTATAAATGTTTGGTCATATTGACTACTCTAATTAAAAGACAAAAGCATAAAATATTAAAATTTTATATATTTCAGAAACAATACACTTTTTGATTCTTTAGTATTTAATATATCATCTTACATCCTAAAAAAAATATTTTGTTGTTTTAAAGTTGCTAGTAATAAATCTTTCTTTTATTATTTTTTATTTTGTGCTAAATAATTATTTATAATTGCTCATAATTTATACTCATATGCATTTAAACAATATTAAATACATATACATTAAGTACAAATATTTTTTATTATTAAGTCATACAATCATATAATCTATATTTATCTATTGCATTATTATATCATTTGTGGATTGATTGAGATTAAATTGTTTTGCTTGAAATAAATATCATTAAACAAATATATAAACCTTTAAAAGATTAAAAAAATGATTTACTTTTTGTATCTATTTCTAATATGTCAGAAATTGAGACACAACAGGAAAGAAGTGTACTAATATAAACTTATTAAGATGCTATTAACCTATTACTTTTATAATTGACCTTAGAAAAAAATGAAATATTCAATAATTTTTTATGATGAAAAATAAATATAGCCTTAGCACAAAAATATTTTAATCAATATTAACATACCGATTCAACTTATTTTTTAAATAATAATTTTAAGCATGATGAACATAATCAGGCAGGCACAAAACAGTATTATTACGTTTTATTTTTCACAAATTTCCCTTAAAAACTGAGCCAGCTTGGAATCCACACCAAATTTAAGTCTTCGTTCTAAAGTTTCAAAATCCACTCTTTCAAGCCATGTAGCAGGATCAATTTTTTTTGAAGGTAGAGGGCATAATAATCGTTCAACTGCAGCACACAAAGCACACCAAGTTCTGAAATTCAATGGCTCTTTAATTTCACCAATCATACATTCCAAATATACTCTTTGCTCTTGAGTTATGGGCTTTCCAATCATATCCTGAAGAGCTTTGTGAATATCATTTGGTGAAATGTATTTAGTACTTTGTACAGTATCTTCTTGAAATTTGTTGAAAATTCTCCCAAAAATCAACTTCCTTCCAGGTGAGACATAAACATACTTGCTGAGATATTCCAAAACTGTTAATCCTAATAAAAGTTATATATAAAGCACAGAAATTTTATAAAATTATACAGTATTTACAAACTTAAGAAATCTACTTTATTAGAATACTTCATTCTTAAGAAATTATTAAATAAAAAATTAAAACATAATCTATATTAAATAGACATTTGTTGATTTTTTAAAAGAGAACCATTTATTTATGTAAAACTTTGTCTTCGTAATATTGTAATACACATCAAGATAAATTCAAGTAGAACAAAATGTAGTACTTATTGGTATGGAAGTCAATATATTTTACTTTAATATACATCGAACTGCATGACATTGTCTTCAACGTATACTACTATTTTTTCAGAAATAAATACAATTTATATTTTATAAAGATATTACTGTTTAAATTTATTGTTTTTACTGCTGCAAATTTCGTATTATTACAAATTACAATTTTTTGCAATATTATGAGAAACAATTAATACAATTTCATTTAATAAATTCAACTCAAGTAGTCTTATTTAAAAAATTCATAGTCTAAATATTACTATTAAAATAAGGTACTTCCAAAATATTTATTATATATATATAGATTAATTTTTATTTACAACTTTTATGAGTTGCTGACATTAATTTAATTTATTACAAAATTTAGTAGTTATCACTTACCACGTAAACTTTGACTTCCGAGAATTTCAAAACGTGCCACTTGGCGAGAAAATACTCGTGGCGTATCTATTAATGCAGGATTTAAAAATACCTGAGATCGTCTTGGATGCAAGTAATTTTCACCTTTTACACGCAATGCTTCTTCTAACGCGATTTTTCTCTAAAATTATATACCTTTATAAATTACATCTAATGAAAACATTAAAATTAATTACAGAAAATTGCTATTAGGTTTACTATTGCAATATTATTATAATGCCATAAAATCTTTAGTACTACAATAATTATTAATAAATTTTTTAATATATTTATTTTCAATATTCCAATTGTTTGAACTTATGCTTTCATTATATTAATGTTATAACATTCCTTTTTAAGCTCTATTTATAATCTTACCCTAACTGAAAACTCTGCTTCCACTTTGTCACGATTCAACTCTCTGCATAAATGTTTTAAAATATCTGGATCTATGAAACTAGGAAGCATCATTAAAGGTATATTACTTATTGCAGAAGTTTTTTTAGGAGTAGTTGCTAAGTTTTCAATATCACCATTGTTTGTATGAATTCTGTTTGTTTGAAAGCAACAAATAAAATATATAGAATTGTTTTACAAATTATATAAATCAAAAAATATAATTTAAGATACTATAATAAAAGATCTTTACTGACGATGTTCTTCTAGATCCATCTCCGATATGGGAAATTTGGGTTTCAGGTGGTTCAAATAAATCACGTACTTCTGCTTGTTGTCCATAGCCTGACCCCCTTCTGCACTTCCCTTTACGTAATCGCTTTCCTCTTCTACGAATGACTGTAAGTTCTGTTTTTGGTTTTTCTATTTTTTCCTCTATCATGTTTTCAGTGAAGTTCTAAAAGATTTATCAATTTATTGATTTCACTTGATTTTTATCAAGTAATTTTTTCTTTTATCTTAATTTTTTTCTCAGTATAATTATAAATAAATATTTACATAAATATATATATATACATAATATATCAAAATGCTATCAAAATAATAAAATCTATGCAAAATTTTTGTTATAAAAATATTTCATTTCAGATCTTAAACAGTTTTTTCTTTTTTTTCTTTTTATTCCTGTTTCTTTGCACATAGAATAGAGTATTTTTCAACATTCTGATGATCATTTTTTTAAATACATATTGAATTAATTCAATTGTAAATACCGGTTCATCAAAGATGTCTACACTTGAAGTATCAATCGCTAGATTTGAAGAATGTGTTTGATGTTTGCTCATACATCTTAAAATTGGTTTAGATACAAAAATTTCAGTTTTTCGATAAGTTGGTGGAGGTTCTAAAGTCAGGGCATGCCATGTAAATGTTTCGTTTTCCTATAAATAAATAAATACTATCTATAATGAATACATATAATGATTAATTAAAATCAGTTAAAAAATTGTTTAGGACCTTCTTTTTTATCTTTAATTTTTTGATACACTAATAGCTAATTCAATGAAAGAATAGATTAAATTTTTAAACACAAAATCTAGTATGTTATTACTAAACAAATTGTAGGAACAAATAATTTAAATGATAAAAAATATTTTCTTAGGGATATATTTATACCATAACAACAATATACATTTTACTATGGAGATAATGTCAAGAATTATGTATTGTTTATAAATTGAAATTAATCATTACAAAATAATGATTATACAAAACTTTTTATAGAAATTAGTCTATGAAATATTGATTTTGAATCGTATAAGAGTAAAAAATATAGCTTGATTTTTATTGTATTTAGATTATTCTTTCTTGTGAAATTAAATTCATGTGTAAAAAAGTTTATGCTTTTCAAAAAAATTTTAATTTAATTTTTAAATCTTCAAGATTTTTATACTTTTAATTTTATACTTCAGTACTACAAAAAAGTTGACAGAATTTAATATTAAATTTTATATCAGTTATATTAAGGTTTAAAAGCGAGATTCATTATTTTTATTACTATTTTTTTTAAATTCTCAATGGAGGTAACTGAAATAAATTTAGAATATATAACTAATTATAAGTATTCAATATAATTCTTCATTAATAGAAGTGCATTACAAACCATTTGCTTCCGTGAATTTGTTCTAAGATCTAGAATTAATGTCGTTCGTTGTCGTTGCTTGCAAGTCACCGGAAATTCTTCCTGAGTTGGTCTATTTGTCAAAGCAGGGCCATTAGCGAGTGTAAGTGCAGGAGACAAAGGTCTCGAATCAGTCTCGGTATATTTTCGAAATAATTCCTCGGGAACAGTAGCAGCTTCATTAATAATTTCAATTCCAGTGTTACAACCTATATTGACAGCATTACCTGCAGCTATTAAATTCGCTCTGATCATATCTATTTCTTCTGTTAATAATAAAGTTTTCCCTTCAGTTGCCTATAGTATACAAAAAGAAAATTATATAAAATTTCACATTTGATTTATTATCTTAGTTTCAGTATTGTGTTTAAAACATTTCAATCTGGTATATAATGTTTTATCGTTAAATATTTTTTGTTGACTTCTAAATAACATGTAATCCAACTAGTGACATCTGTAAATGATTTGTTTGTATAAACTCATTTGTTGCTTCAATTAATTTGATGTACTTAACATAAGTTATTAAAATGTTAATCTAGATGAAATTATAATTATAATTATATTATATTTAGATGAAATTTTAGCAAATTACATGTAGTATTTCTATATATGATAGGTATATAATAAACATAGTACATTTTCAAATTTCTGATATTAAAATTGTAGATATTTTAGATAACATTGTAGATATAATTATATTTCAGTACATTATACAGTAATAATGCTTATAAAGAGAAATAAAAAAGTACACTTTGACTGTAATATAGCAGATATGTTTCATATATAATATAGTGAACTTGTCATATTAAGAAAATTTGAATTAACATTTACATTAATGTGTTAAGATAGTAAGTATTACCCATGAATCTTTCGCTCTTCGGAGAACTTCTTTTGCTTCACAATCTGCTGGATGATTACATAAAATAGAACAACCATAAGGATAAGGATTGAAGAGACCAGAAAAGGGTCGAAGAATAAAAGGGGCTGGCTTAGTAAAACCTGTAAGCTCCACATGCTACAACAGATAAAATATTCATATTTTGATTATCTTTTTACAAATGAAGCTTTCAATTTTCTAGTTCTGATTTAGTTTTCTTTTATTAAGTTATGCATATAAACTTCTATTTTTTTCTTAATGATACAGATTATAAATTATAAAAAGATAATAAATAAAAAGTGTGGTACAGAAAACATTTGAAAATAAAATATTTTATTAACAAATAGAGAATTAATAAATAAATTGTTACAGTTATTTATTTAATTATCATTTAATTCTAATATGATTAAAAATTTGATTACAAATTAATTACAGTATAATTATAATCAACTTTTAATTTAATCACTAATCATGGGAAAGCAATTCATTACTTAATTATAGTACAATCACACTAATGTTATATTTCAATCATAATAATCCAACTACAACGCAATCATGATTTAGTTTAAATTTCATTGTGGCACAAACATGAACCATTGTTAATTTATAGTATCATAATTTTATCGCAATTGCTTGAGTATTATTTTTATTTCTATCAATATAAATTAAACTATAATTTTATATTTTCAGTAAAAATTTGTATTAATTTAAACATATAACTTTTTAAAAGTATTATTTGAATATTTCTTTTTGAAACAAAGTGACTAAGTATTTAACAATAACTAAATATTAGAAATTTGTTATATTTTTTACTTTTAGATAAAAATCACTGTATTTAGGAATGTAATATTGTATAAACATATTATTTTACAATATCTTTCCAATAATTATTTACATAAGAATTCATTGTTATAATTGTTATTTTATTCTAATAAATAAAATAAGTTATATTAATAATAAAGTTAAACTAAAGCTAATTATAATGTATCATAATATTTTAACATTATATTACATGCATAATCTATGTTATAGGTGTAAATCGATATTATTAAAGAATTAGTATCAAGAATTGTAATTAAAGAATTAAAGTTCAGTTTCACAGTTACCTACAAAAATACACATATCATTTTCGTTATAAAGCTATATTAAAGATTTGTAAAGCTATATTAAACATTAATAATATTTCATTAAACAGAACTAAAACATGGTTGTGTAATTAATTGAGTAATTTATGATCAATTTCTTTCAATATATACCTTCGATTTAGGTCGATAGGTTGATCGAGTGCGTGCATGTAAGAGTCCTGTTGCACTCGCAATTCCGGGCATTATCTTGCATGAAGTTATTGCTACTAGACAACGTATCACAGGAATCCTTATCAAGACGCGAGTAAATCAGTCGCTGGTTGTCTTGGAGGTACGTTGCTATCGTGGGTTTGATGGGTCGATTGATGAAGCCAAAGAATATAACGTTAGAATACTTCATTTTTAACACTTTGTCGATTGTCGCGCAACAAAAAAGTTTTAGACTTAGATTATTTGAATTTTTTATATTGTACGATTTTAAATTTGTGCAACATTGATTTTGCTTAGATCAGATTTGTAATTGGTAGAATTTATATATTTCATTCTTCTAAAATTATTTTGTTATTAATTAGAAAGAAAAATTCTATTAATAAAAGAGATTTAAAAACTCGTAGATTAATTAAAATTGCATTTCATTATTTTGAAAACGTATTGAAAAAAATAATTCAATGGTATATTGTAAACACAGTTTTTGTTTGTTTTATCTTCGTTAATATTTTCACGGTTATAATCTTCATTTATATTTTGTTTTTTTGTATTTTGTTTTCACTCTTATTGTAAATAACAATGAAAAAAGAAAAATATAATTATTTCGCAAATTTTTATTTCATGGTACACTTATAACAAATTGAGATATAATAAGAAATAGAATTGAAAAATATTTAATCTAACGATGATATAGAATAATTATAAACAATTCGGTTTATTTATTTCTTGTACAATCCAATTAATTCTTTTAGATCTTAAGCATTTTCTCCAAGAATGGATTATCTTGATAATGTCCAGGATATTTTTTCTTATATTTTAACCCTGTAACTAGAGTAGAGCTTGACGGAAATGCTGTTTTGCCATTGAATAGTGTATCCGTATCTGAAATAATATTATTTTGATTTTACATTTAATATTTAAATAACAATAAAATCTAAGATAGTACAAAACATAGAAACTGACGAACTAACATTATGGTAAATTATAAATTGTTAAATTAAATTAAATTTAATATTATGGACTACCTGAAAATACAATTTTTAATAATTCAAAAATGTTTGAATAAATTTATTTCAATCAGATACATTAAAATAAATACATTACAAAATTTTTAAATTATTAAAAATAGAAAAACATTATACAAATAAGAATTTTTTCGTATAATAATTTTATCTAGATTCGAAAATTTTTTTACAATCAGCAAATATTTATTATTTTAGAAAATAAAATATAGTTTGAAATTATTATATTCAACATAGTTTTATTACTAAAGTTCGTTTGTAAAAATAAATTAATATTATTAGCAACATAATTTTTTAAGTTGCAAGTTACAAGTTATTACCATTAATAACTTTGTTCATAAAATTTTACAAATATTCATAATGCCAAATACTACCTTATTAATATAATATCTAATAAATCTATACATCTATAATAAAAATGACGAATAATAAAATAAAACATTATTTTGACAACATAAAGCGAAGAAGAAATAATATATCATACGAAAAAAAAAAGAAAATTTATTTTATAAAATTCGAACACAAATTCCACTTCATTATTTCCAAATTAAAAATTCCATAATTTGAATAACTTATTGGTAGCAATAAAAAGATTCATATTATTTAATTCAGTATTATCACGAAAATTTAATATCGAAATTCTTATATTAGCAATGCTAAGTAATCTAAAAGTAGGATGGAAACGTCGAATGGAATTACGAATTGAACTTATAAGAACATCTATCAGACTAGACATTAAATATAAGAATATTCAAGAATAGTTTTCCTATATATAAGAATTTGGTATTAACCCAATTCAATGTAGTAAGAATCGGCACTGTGTGCAATCTATTGATTTTATAATTCGACTAATCTATTTCTGATTTAATGAATGCCGTGAAAATTAGTATTCGTTTTATCAACTGAAATTTTAGCCATGCCTAAATTCGGACCCATGGTTAATTTTATTTCGTTTTGAAATTGTGGACTTGAATTTAGATATACAGGTAAGCCATAGCTTACAAGGTCAACTTCTAACCTTCAAGAACTGTGCACGAAATAGAAAGCCTGGGAATTAATAACGGGAATTGCAGCGTGAGTGCACGTTTTTAAACGGGACTAGACTCAAAATTACAAAAAATATTAATAATTATGTAATAGTTGAAAGTTTTAGTATTTTTTAAGGAAATTGATGAAAATTGTATTATTAAGGAATGTATATTAAATGTATTAATAAGGAATGTCATTTATATGACACATTTTTTAATGCAACTTATGTTGCTTGTTTATATTATTAAATATAACGTTTTAATATTATAATTTAAACTTTGGTATTTAAAATTTATTATATTTATCTTTTTCTTTCAATTTTATGCAGTATAATGTGTACATTAAAAATCGGAATAAATATATTATTTGTATCGCTTTTATTAGTTTTATTATTTATATTTTGTACTTGCATAATTTATACTTCGTGCAATATCTGATTAAATATATCGTATGCAAACTGATAAATAGAATGTTATTTAACTTTTAATTGTAGGCTTGAAAAATAATTATAAAGATAAAAATTGTTTAAAAACATAAGTAAAATTGAGTAGTAAAGCAGATTTATATTCTTCTTGATAGGAAATCTTAGAAATGTTATTTTTATTGTTAAAATCTACTTTTAACAATAATTACTATATACTACTATATACCATAGAAACATATCCCTAGTAGTTAATTTAACATTGTACAGTATACATTAATGTTTCCACTGATTTGACGCCTACGAATTGTAGTTAGTTTTGCTCAGAGAAAGCTCATTACAATTGTAACTCGCTCTTTCAAAGTAGGAAATTTTCTCAATTTTTAAATGAAACGATCTTAAGAAACGACTAACTGTACAGTACGTGGTTGAATTAGGGTCAAAACTCAGCCCGTTAGTTCTTTATGACTCTTGTACGGGCCCTTGAATGGTTTTGACTTTGAGAAGGTAATGAGTTTCAAAAGTGTTAGATAGCAAGGTAAAGTAAACTAATCAAGGAAACAGTTAAAACTGCGAGGAAATTAACAAATTTTTTAAAATGTACTTTTCACATATGTGTACGTATTTTTTAGTATTAAAATTTGATTGTTGCAGTGTACACGCATTTGGTTAGGCATATGTAACTTTGAAATGATAGTTGAAAAGCTGGAAAGTGTAATCGGTTCGTGTAACGATGTTTCCTATATTCCAAGCATTAATCCAAAACCATTTTACCATCTAAATAATAATACGAATAACATTGCATAATTGTACCTAGTTTTCAGAAGAAATTTAAAAAAGTGCGATAATTCAATGAATACAAAATAGATTTAAATAATAATAAACCAATTTCTCTACACAAATTTCCTCACAGAATATAACATTAAATTTGAAACAAATTTTCTTAAATAAATTTTATAGGTAAATTTCACAATACAATGAATGTCAGAAGATACAAAACACTTTCCTTTTTTTTTTTCTTCCATTTCTTATGGACATTATACAGAAATTTTTATTCTGATTGTTTCATAGGATCCTTTTGTTATTATCTTTGTTAGCTTAATTAAAGAATTTTTAGTTTGGTGTAACGGAACGTTAGTTATGTATGGTTATTTAGTTGAATTAAAAAATTTGTTAAATTACTTACCAGGATGGAATCGAATATAATCATAATTAATATGTAAATTCTTTGGTAAATCCATGGAACGCATAACCTCCAATGGAGTTCTAGAATCAACTGGAGTTTCGTAGTATTTTTTTAAATCACCTGAAACATATATTTCATAACATGGTGAAGATATTTGAGCAACATATTTTTGAACGAGTACTAAAAAATAATAAAACATACTCGATCGATAATTTAAAGGTTTATCTTTTATATTATATTCTGCAATTATATTTTGCAAATTTTTGTACAATATATACATTCAGTTTGGTTTTATTTTAAAATATTGATAATTCATTTCTTTGACTTAAACGTAGATTATTTTTGTTTTTCAATATCCTTCTAATGATTCGTAAATACTGTCTTAACTATCTTCCCTACAATATTATATTTGTAAGTTGAAAGAGTGGTAAACATAAGCTTTAAATTTACATATTCATAAAAATCGAATGTTAAAATAAACTTATAAAAATTTCATACTGTAATATTATTATAAGGCTGCGTAATAAAATAAAACATATATTATATAAATGTATCGTAATAAATTTCGTAACTAAATAAACGCACACACTAGAACCTTTGCCAAATTCTTGTAAAAATTAAGGAAAACGATATTAAAATTTGTATAACTAAGCATCATCAGAATGACGAATGAAGCTTTAAATTAGATGTAAATTATTAAAACGAATATGATCAGTAAAATTTTCCGCGAATTTTAAGAATAGGATGAAATTTTTGAGTTTAACTCTAATCAGAAAATTAGCCGAAATACCGATTAATGCAACGAGTAAGTCATTAAAATTCATTAATTATATAATGGATTGAAATAATAGAAATTTTTTAGTGATCATACCGATTGTTTCGATGCTATATAGCACAGAATTCATCACTGGATGTTGAAGCTCTTCTTCGCACGCTAAAAAAAGGTTGAAACGTTGCAATGGATCCTCGATTTTCGTTTCATTGGTGGCTGAAATTTGTTGTACCTCGCAAATTTTATTTATTCTATCGGCCACATTTTTTGGTGGATTGTATTCTTTCTGATACCTCAAAAATCTGAAATAATTGGAATAATTTTCCTATTTGACTTATAAAATCTCAAATAAGTAAAAATGTATCTTTGTTTTGTTTAAATTCTATTATGTGAAGCTGATTGCTCGGATATTTTGTGTTAAAATAACTTACTGAGTATTTTATATTTTTACAAGAAACTAATCTTGTTGCTATATCTATTATTCGAATGTCTTATTTTAACATTACGCCATATTTCTTTTAATTATTGCACAAATTTTTCATTTTATAAAAAACAAATTTTTAAAGAAGTTTATTATATCTATTAGTGCATAATGCATTGTTGTTAATAAATTTAAAAATTTATTATTATCCATCAAATACATGTGTATATCATTACTGTAATAGTAGTAATTAAATTGTTCCTAACTCCATTTGGTATTTTTCATTTGTTATTATTTGAACGTAAAAAATATTTAAAAAAGATTGCTATTGTGGTAGGAACTTGTTATTTTAAGTAGATTTAGTTATATTATACATATAAAGTCAATATAAAATTGTAGGCACGACATCAAGAAAAGTAATCTTTTACATTTATCATATAATAATATATCAATAATGTTACTTAAATTACAGGTAATGTTAACAAGAGTAAAAGTAGAAGTTGCAGAGAAAATACAGAATTTGTCCAGTAAAATTTCTCAAAATTTTGTTTTTATCTCATCTATATCGAATGTTGAAAATATTGGTTTTCCTCTTTTGTAAAAGACATATTTATAAAACGCTGAATTTCATAATTCTGATGACTCAGTGAATTCCACTAATTCAATCTTCCCCTGTAATACCTCGCTTCTAAAAATTTAATGCGCTATAATGTTTTCAAAATTTTCTCGATTTATATAAAATTGCACTACACGATTTAGCGAAGATTCGAAATCGATAATAATCTGAGAAACAAGGATGATTCAAGAAATAATACTTGTTAATCGAATCGATTATTATCGAACGCCTTTTTAATATTCACTTGATTAACTTTCGATTCTGTTCATCTTTTGTTGCAATGACGTTTTCGCATTATAGTAACTTATTATTCTTCATCCAACCTCAAATTAATTCCAACAAATTTATCGCCACGACAATGTTACCGCATTGAAACAATCGAACTTTCTTTTCATTTTCCATGGTTAATACAAGTCATGTACATAAACAACGAAGTAGAAAATAGTATTATTATTTATGAAAAAAAGTAATAATATAGCTACTTTTGAAACATATTACATACGCTAACAGGTATTAAGGTTATATTATATACTTAAAAATAAAATAAAGGTTATATTATGTACTTAAAAATAAAATAAAGGTTATATTATGTACTTAAAAATAAAAATAATATACAAATTTAATTTTCATTTACTTTTGTATAGATACAAGATTTAAAATTTAGTGGTTAAGAAATGTTTTTGCAATATATATGTATAAACAATATCGAATAAAATAAAAACAAAAATCCTATATTAAATAATACGTTTCCTTAAATTATAAGTAAAAGATAACGTTAAGGACAAATATCGAATTTTTCCATATGTAGTGAAGTTAAACAACTTTAAGGTATTGAAGTAAAAAATCATCCTATCATTGTCAAATGACAGTAATTAATGCATCATTTCTTTTTTAAATAAACTTGAATACATAATCTTGCACGTACATGTTGCACCTCAACAGTTAGAACAAATATCCAAACGTGGGTGAATCACAAATACGTTAATCGTGATTCAACAAAATAACGTGAGACTTCAAATAATTCAAAGATTTCTTAAAAGGTTATACCGTATAGCTATTTTGAGTGATTTGAAACCAAACCTCATAATCGATAGAATGATTCTGTCACGGTAATGTCATGGAAATCCTATTTCCTTCATCACAAATTAAATTTCGCATGCAACTGACCGATAGACGTTTGTTTTCAATCTTAGAATTAATCTTCGAAATATTTTTAATTATATCGTTTGGAGAAAATTGCGCCTAACAATAGAAAGCATGTTATGGTAACGCAACTTCTATTTCACAGTTTCCCCCTCAAACATATCGGGGATACATCCCTTGTGGTACCATACAGGTTTTCCGAAGACTATCTTTGCCGATAGCCATTGATTTCGCGTGCTGAAAATCAATATCGTCTCTTCTAGATTATCCCGACACGACTCGCGCCAAACTTTTCGTACCGTGTAAAAGACTCTGGTTACCGGACGAAGCGCGGCAAGGGAGGTTTCCCTTAGAAGAGGTGGGCAATGGAGCGTCGGCGGAGGGGAGGAGACAAGATCGATGTCCAACTACCGTACAGTGGTGCCCTCAGTTGTATTTTCTCAGGATACAGTTATGGCCAATATTGGCCAGGAACGAAACGAAGGACGGAAAAACCCCGTGACTAGAAAGTTTCTGATATTCCGCTAAAAATAACGTTACACATTGAAATTATTGTAGCTGCTTAATCAGTTTTAAGAATCGATTCGCTTCGTGACATCGTAGTAATCTGTTCGTACAAACTAGAAGCGTATATTTTGTATATTTGATTTTCAGTAAATAAAAATAAAATAAAATTCAAGAAAAGTTATTATTCGCGGAAACTAAAGCGTAGTTTCATTTTCCTTTGTTATGCGTAAATCTTGATCTATGTAGCAAGAAACAGGCGGTAGTTTGTCAATGTTAATTACAAGGACGGAGAAACTTGGTCTTCGAAACAGGTGTTCTCAATAAAAACTGGTACAACCGGAGAACTAAAATATCCAGGAAGTAAACCGTTTTTAACATTTCCTTTTCACTTTAAATATACTATTTCTGTTGAATGTAATCATGAAATGTTCAAACTATACTGTTATTTTTTAACGAACATTAATAAAATTTGAACTTCATACATATTCGTATTATTAAAAAATTATTTTTCTCTGACGAATTATAGAAAATATACATATAGAGAAATTAAAATATATTTAACAAATTTTATGTATTTCCTAAAGATAAAGAATTATTTAAAAACCTAATGAGTCGTAAACTATATCGAGCAAGAATTCTCAGGATTAACTGAAAACTTCATGTAGCGGTACAAAAGGGTATGCCACTAGTTGTTACGTCATATGTAAAAATGGCAACAAACCTTACACCTTACAAATACAACCATTTAGACAGATTCAAGTGACATTAAAAAAGAATTGATATTTTATTTAACGTATCTATACAATATTTAACGAAAGGTGACTAATATAGAAATTTCGTATAATTACACATAGAATTCTAAAAGTGTTTTAAATTACAAATTTCAGTTTCGTACAAATATTATGCAGTCTTTCTTAACTTTGTGTTTATCGTAAAAAATGACATATGTAATTATACATGTCGTTAGCAAATATAATTTAATAAAATATTAAAAATTTTCATTTTGCATTTTATTATCTATATAACTTAGTATTAGATTTGTTGAAATTTATAAAAGTTTCAAACATATTATTTCCTTAAACCTGATTCGATTCGAAAATAATATTAATATATATGGAATAATTATATGGGATGAAAGATTTTACCGTATTTTTGGCACATCAATTTTATTTATAAAAATAAATACTATAACTTTTCAAGCAGTAATAAAAGTGAAAGAAATATTTCCAAATTTTGATAATATTTGCAACATTTTTGATTCCATCCCTAGTTACATGTGGCTACAAAAAGGAGTTGCACAAGAACTAGTAAAAAAAACGAGGGTGCTGAGAATGCATACGTCTGCCCTGAGAAGCTGTCAAATCCAGCAGTTTATTGGTTGGTGTGTGAAAGAGAGGTGGTAAACGGCAATATGGCCACAGTGTGTCCTCTGCCAGTTAGCCAGCGGCGCGACGTAACGCGAATATTTCGATCGAGTTCGTATGTAAGCTGATAAAATTACTTACCCTTTGCAAGAAAGAGACTTCTTTTCATCGGCAAACCTGCGAATTTCCACTTTGTTTTTTTGTTTCTTGCTCTTAAAACGAGTTATATTGTATCGCAGACTCGTCTGTAAAATGACGGTAGTATCGTTAGTGCGCGAAGTATATGAGTTAAATATTCTCACTCCTTGTTGGGAGTGTTATGTGATAATGGTGAATAAAAAGTGTACGTGAAGTGTCTACACTAACCGTGTTTACGGCAAGAATTGTGGATGAACTTTTTAAAGGATTCACGACTAAACCATGCCTGATGAGCGCCGCCATCTTCTTCCTCGTCGTCGAAGCGAACTGCGCGAGTGAGCAGTAGGGGGCGCCTCGGGCGGCTGCGCTTGTTGTTTCCCATCGTCCGCCATTTTACGGTCGCCATTGAGAAGTGAAAACCCTCCTAAATGTTCTCGAATAATAGCGGCCTCGCCGTGTGATTTTCGGGGCTGAGAGAGGCGTGCCGCCGCGAGAAGTGTTGCTAATGAGTGTACGGCGTACGATGGAGAAGCCATGACGCATCCGTCGCATCAAACGAACGGCGCTAGCCTGGAGGACTGCCACACGAATTTCTTCGCACTGGTGAGTGATCAGTGAGTCCACTCTTCGTAAGAGTCGATGCGCATATCTACTCTGTGTTTGGAGATTCGGAAGGATGAGACTTTGGCTTCACAGGACGGAAACCAGTTGTCCAACGGCTGTTTAACGGTACCGCGTAATGTTACGAGCAGAAGTCGCCCGGGTTAACCTATATATCGGAGAATTCCCGTGGGCAGTACTCGATCGTTCGTGTCGACGTCGGTGTTGTGTATCGCGGCACTCCCCTCCCCTCCCTTTCTTTACTGTGTATATACTACGTATATGCGTGTATACATACATATACGTACATAAATGCATGTACATATGCTATATATACATCCATATACGTACATATGTACATATATAAGTAGTTATATACATGCGCAAGCATGTATGTGCGCGTCAGTGGGATTTGAAGTTTATGCGACCCAATGTCATGCCTGATTCATGTCGGCCCTGAGTTTTCCACTCGTGAGAGAATTAAAGAGGTTGCAGTAGGGCTGACCAGAGACTGCTGCATCTATCCGTTGATTATCGTAGTGAATATTGTTCAACCATTTCCCCGTGTTGTGTAGTTGGTGCTCTACTAGTGATTTCTCGATAAACTGTTGAAAACGCGCTGCTTTCGTCTCTTCTCCCAACAGATAATGAGATTGTCTCTCGTAACATTCCTTTCGCCTTTCAGCGGAGCCACAAAACTGTGTCAGACATTGTTTGCACCGCTCGAAAGTCCTCGTCTGCTCTGGTCCGGCAAGTCTAGGAACTCCTTTTCGTTGAACTCGACGAACCTCAAACGTGCTTCTGCGATACATACCAACCTATTGATGTATATGGATTCCTCGTATACTTCTACTTGCCTACAGGATGTTTCGAAAATAGGTGCTCTATTACCAGGAGCGTATTTCGCTTCTTTTTGTTTCAAGTATGCAATGACTTCTGTGAAAATAGTTTTCTCTCGAATTACGACCGTTCGTCGTTCGTTTCTTTGAAATTTCCAAGAATGGCTGGCGTATTTGTGAAATTGTGATTAAACGTTGTTTCTGGTGAAGATATGTGGTTAAACGCGATTAAACGTAGTTCACACGTGACAAGTTTAGTTATATTTATTCTTTATGAGTATTGTTCTAAATTTTCCCGATGATATACAGACATACTTTCATAAATTTATATCTACGTTTACAAGTTTAAAATGATTAATACAAGTGACCTATGTTTTTGACCGGACGTTTCCTTCGTTACAATTCTTACCATAATTTCTACGATAAATTTGATTTTTTACAATACATTATCAATTGTTATCAAATGTTTACAAGTAGTAACACTTGATATATTTCTCATTAACAAATTACTTCTGTTTATTGATTTTTAACACAGGTATCTTTGGAACATATAGTAAAAGAATTTACTATAATTCGGTCCCAAGGTACAAGTAGATATTAGAAGCAAAAATATTCTTAATGCATAAACCGTGCTAAACGTCACCATATACAAATATCAGAATGTGTCAGTGTAATACGAATAATATCTACATATACAGATAAAATGATTGGGAATTTTATAACAGAAAAAAAATATTTTTAATTTTCATTTATATTCATAAACCTCTAAAATGCATAATACATTGATTTCGATAAATTAACCTTACAAAAAAAGATAGTTGATAATTAAATAGAATATCTTTGAAATTATAGCTAAATTTCTTTTGTCTGTAGGACTGGCATTATATCCTTTCAAAGTTTGACCACTTATTTTAGAAACGGCCTGTATACAAGGCCTTTAGGTTGTCTTCTCCCTCTTTCTCTTTCCATTTTGACCATGCAGTATGCGCGCGACTCATGTATACACATACTTATCGCGAGTATAACGGCGAGACAGACACATTTTTCTGTTACACTCTCAGCACACTGCATTCCCACGAACAGTCGATCAAAACATCCACGCTCTGAATGAGCTTGCTAGAGTCCGTTTCATTTTTTCTTTTTTCCTTCCTTTTCTCGATTAATTTTATAGTCGCATTTGTTTTTATAATCATGGAATAAAACAGTTTTTTGAAGCTGGTTTTAAGAAATTTTCCAACTGAAACGTCACCGAGATAACATATTGACAAAGATTGCGATAGAAGTTGTTAAGAGGAACCATTGTGAAATGGATGTTCACAAAAAGTTAATATTTATTCATCCACGATAATTTCGATTATTTCTGCAGTTTTTTCCTTATCATGGTTTTTATTGTGTTGCATTAGTTCAGGGAAATTTAGTTGTGTGTCGTATCAAACCTGCTCTGTCAGTTGCGGGAAAAACTATGCTTTCATTTTGATTCCTCCCGTAGCTTTCCCCGATGAAATTCGTTTATGTCCACGACAGATCGCCGTCTTCCGCTATTTCGTATGAATTCGATTCAAGAAATTATTTCGAAATTTTCTTTGAAGGAGTATGTAATGAGATATGATTTTGGAATATAATATATCATCGCAATATTTTCATCAATATTATAAAATGTCGATCACGATTGTGATATTGGTTAATTTTTTAAATAGTTTTAGAGAATTAAATATCGCGTATGTAAATACATATATATTTACTATAAATAATTTTAAATACATTTTAATTGAAAAATTATTTCACTAACATTCGTCTTTAATTCTTTTTGTTCTTTATCTTTGTTTTATACTTCAGAATTGCAAAGATATTAATAAACATTAGTGAATGTTATATTTTAAATTTTTTTCAAAGGATATTCAAAGGGAAAATTAATGTTTGCACGTAATATATTTAATATTATCTAGAACTAGTTATGAGAAAATGTACAAATTATTTCAATGGCAGACATTTACGGTATATAGTATATAACTATACCAAATTGTACATTATTCACAATATTTTGTTATATGTGTTATACATTACATTACATTTATTAATGATTATAACAAATTATTAATAACTTTTAATATATATTAATATCTTAGAAGTATCTTTTACTTGATTTTCAAAACTAAAGTACTTGCGTAATTAAAAAAGAGAAAGTGTTTAGAAAGATCTAAAAATTCTACACCAATTGTAATTTCCGTAATTAGAAAATACTAAATACTTTACTTCCTATTCTATTTATTTTCTTATCTATCTTATATATGTCTTATTTATTATAAAAAAAATTTTTTTCTATATATTGAACCAAACTTTCTAAAAACTCAGGGTAATGAATGCTTAAAATTTATCAGAAGTTACATAGATATTTCAAGCGATCAGTATATATAATTTTTTAAGCGGTAAAAACCTTGAGATGTTTCGAAGAGAATAACTTCAAGGCGGTTTTTGTGTACAGCTTTATAGTTACTTTGTATTCACGGTAAAATTCGAGCTGCAACGGCCAGGTAGGAGCAATGCTCGGTCGTAGTGGTTCTCAACTCGCGTACACACAAAACTCATTCATTTACCATCTGAAGAGGTCTCTCGAGTCTACAATTAATTCGTTCTACCTATTGAAAGGCAAACATATTAATTCTACTAGGAAAAACATTGATAAACAATACATTGAATTTTTTAGTTATTTAAAATTTGATTCGTTTTCTCCAGTAAAAAAAGGTTTATAATACAAATTATTTTTACCTTAATAAATAACGATAAAATATAATACGTATTTTATTGACACATAAATGAAATGTGTATAATATTTTAAGAATCATTGACACTGATTGCAACAAAAAGCTGCGTTAGTGAAATAACAAGAAGAACGTGAATTCCCTACTTCGTTGACGTTGGAATGATTGAAATGCACGCAGTCATGTCGTCTTCTAGAATTTATTTGGGATTTCGCGTTATTTTATTGATGTGTCGTACAATCGAGTATTTTCTACGCCTTAAAATCGGTTTGCGGGTAATTATGAAATATTGATTTATTTTAATGGAATAAATTTTATGAATTGTTATTCATATACTATTAATATGCAATATTTTGAAATAAAGTACATCTGATTTAATTTAAACTAAAATTGGAATTTAGGTTAGAATACGTGAACTCTGTATAAATATTAATAAAACGAAAATGAAGTGTACTTGTAATTTGTTACGAAAGTTTATCAATTTCGAAATATATAAAAAGTAACACAATCAAAGCAAAATGAAATTTTTAAAAACTAAAGCTTTCGTTATAAATTTATTCCGTGCATAGCATCGTTCTTTAGAAAAAAAGGAAGAAAACAACTTTCAAATATAGTTGAAAGTGGCTAAGTGCTGAACTGCTTTAGCTATAAATTATTTTATATGTAGCATATTCATTTGTGTGTGTGACAAACAGCGTGATTTGGCAATCAATAATTCCCCAGTTAACCAAGATCATTAATCAGAATTGTTATAAAACGTAAATTCGTTATCACTCTTTAATTTCAATTTTATTTCATTTACATACCCGTGTACATATAACTGACTGAAACAACCGAACCAAAACATACGAAATCTTTTGATAATCATGGAATTTACATTCGTCATACAGTCGAGATAATTAGGATTTTTGAAAGATAATAATTAAAATAATAATTTTGTCACCGCTTTTAATCGGATGCACGAACGTTGCTTTTCGATTTTCACTTATCCATTTGAAAATGGCGGTCCTAAAAATTGAATGGGTGGGGGGCGCTGTTCCGAGGTCAGCGTGAAGCAAAAGTGGCGAGCTCAAAACCGAGCAGTGTGTAAACTCTCTTGTAGCTTAACACGTGACGTCCTCGCGGTGCAAGGCTTTCACCTAGGCTGGTCAAGCCCCCTTCGGCTTCTCCTGTTTCTTTCCACGGAGCACCAGTTTCAGCATAATCTAGCCGAGTGACTTCGTCGACGAAGAAGCCGCGTGCCTCGCGTATCTCACTCGAGAAATCACCACAACGGACTGATATAATAGAGAATACTCAGTGTCTCTCTAATCATTCTTCTTTGAGCAGCGATTTTTTCCTTGCCCGATTTTATTCAGATTTACCTGAGTGATACGTAAAATATGCAAATACAAATGATCAATAC